AATTCCGAAACCCGTCGGTGAGATTGCCGGGCTTCAGACTGCTCACTTCGAAGGAAATAACTTCACATCATTTGCACAAGGTTTTCAATTTAATTCCATGTCGCTAGAGGATCTGAGTCTTGCCAACAATAAGCACTTCAATATGAGTGTCTCTGACTTGTTGAAAGTTCTGAAATCCGCCAAAAAGTCTCTACGTTTTCTTAACATAAGTGGCTGCAATTTTGGTGGCCTTATCCCGGCAGACTTGTGGAAGTTTTTAAAGTTATTCACTGTCGATTTTAGCAACAACAGATTATCTGGAGATATTCCATCGTACTCCACAGGCTTGAAATCACTTCGCATCTTTGATGTTTCAAAAAACAAACTTTCAGGACAAATCCCTCGAGACATCACAATGATATTTAATCTGATAAAACTGGACGTTTCAAACAATTCTCTTATGCGAGAAATTAAAAAGCTGGACTTTATGGAACCTGACTTTACAACTTTGTCACGCAGAAATAGTTTAGATAATTTCACGTGCCCTAACCTACGCATCAGCTACAGCAATGGATTGGTGGTCTTGGATCCTAGCTATTACAACTATAGCCTATGCGTTTGCGACAACACATTTTATGGATCAGGAAGAAACTGTTTATCTTGCATGAAAGGTGGGAAATGTAATGCCCAGAGGCCTCCTCTGAAAAGCCCAAGGCAGCATAACATGGTGTCGCACATGGTAATGAATGCAGGATACTGGCCTTCGCCAGGACATAACAATGTGACCCATTTGGTACGTTGTTCAAAAAAACTTGGTGCAAGTCGCTACGTAGATACATCATGTAATCCAAAAGGCATTAATTGCAAATGCGAGTGGAAAGAAGAAATCAAATCCACCATTTGTAATAAGTCATGCCTGTGTTCAGAAGGAAGCAAGGGGCGATTTTGCTCGCTTTGTGAGAAAAATTATTACAAAAAGGGAATTCTTTGCTACCCTTGTGCCAATAGTGGGAATATCAGTATCTACATCTTAGCTGCCCTCGTTGTGTTCACCATGGTGTTGCTTACTCTCTGCTTCACCTTTTTTTACCAAAAGAATCGTCCTCTTGCGGTTATGTTAGCCTTTGCTCAGATCATCCTCTTAGCAGTATTAGCGGAGCTTCATCCCCATTTTATCCTAAGCAGCATTCTTTATCTCGATGTACTTGTTCTCATTGTTGGTTTGGCTGGAAGAGGCAAAGCTGCGCGTGGAATTATAAAGATAACAGTCTTTTACCTCCAGACCCTAGATGCTTTGATTTCCAAAACAGATGCCTGGCCTATTGAAATTATTCAAACTAAGAACTATGTCGTTGGTGTTTTTAACCTTCGTTTTACTAACCTGGCATGTGAGATACCTTCTTTCTTCACACCACTGGGGGAGCTTCTGTTCCTTATGTTATTGCCGGTTATTTTTATCGTTGCTATGTGGTTGTGCTATGGTCTCGGGTATGCTGTTCTTAGCTTTCGTCATTCACTTGATAAGAGATTTAAACTGAGAAATAACTGTTTACAGTTCTCCATCATGTTCCTGAGCCTCTGTTACTTTCCCATCGTGGAGAAAACAGCTTCTGTATTGGCTCCCTGTGGGACGGACGAAAATTACCATTACCTCATGGAGGCACCATGGATGGAGTGCAGAGGCTCTAAATACAACCTATTAAAAGGGTTCGGTTGGTTTTCCTTGGCAATATACGTTCTAGGGGTACCTTTTGTAGTGTTTTTACCACTTCTGAGATACAAGGCTGCCAAGAGAGACCAACTCCCTCGACAGGATCAAGAAACGTTAGACACTTGGCTGGGCTCAATTTACCTGCCTTACAAGAACGAATTTCGCTCTTATTTTGAGATACTATTTATTCTTCGCAGCATGCTGATTGGTTTCTCGGTCTCGTTCATCTCGCCTTCTTCATCTTTTCAGACGATCGCAGTTTGCTTCGTTCTGTTGGTCTCCTTGTTCTTCCAGCTTCTTTTCAAGCCATTCAAGGACTCCTGCCAGAAAATAGCATTAGAAAACTCAGCCGAGACCCTGGTTCTTTTAACTCTTCATTTTTCTTTCGTGAACATCAGGTATGTAGTTCTCAGCCCGGACACAAGTATTGTGTGGCTGCTTGTGGTTGTCAATGCAATTGTCTTCTGCGGCCTGATCATATCTATCATAACTCTGCTTCTTAGAAGGGAAACTGAGGAATATATCTACAGAGAGGCGCCACAAAGTCAACAGGAAGTCGAGGTGGATGAGCAATGGGCCCCGGAACAGCAAACAGAGGACTCCAAGACCACGTCACCGTTAATGGGCGATAAACGAGTGAAACTATACAGAACTTTTGACAACCATCAGAACACAGAATCTTCAGAGTTATAGGAGTCAAATTCTAAATGAAAATACAGCACTATTCAACAAGCAACTGACTGTAGTCAGGTAGTAAAGGACTTTCGCTTTATTTTTAATCCGCCTGAAAACTGCGAACAGAATCGAAAACGAAATAGAGAGCGAGGGAAAACTGAAGCAGAAGAAAGGGAGAGGGATGAATACCTCAACTCCTTGATACATGAAAGACGTTTCCTTTTTACTCTGAAACATGATCATCCGTCTCTTCGGATCTCTTCTCCCCAGCCCCCAACGCGCGGCAAGTCTCTCTCACCTTGCCGCCCTTTGAGGGTTCTCCACTTATGTCCAGAAATGCACGCAATGGCGAATCTGGCAAAAATTCGCCAAAGGGCTGGCGAAAATTTAAATGAGATTAAAAGAGGCATTCCTTGTAAAGAAGAGAAGTTGATGAAAATGGCGAATCTGGCAAAAACTCGCCATGGGTTTGGCCAATATTCATTTTGGACGCCAAAAGTGGCTCCTTGGAGATTGGAGATTATCAAGAATGTAGTGAGAACCAGCGAACACCCGCCAAAGTCTTAACAAAAATTAAAATGACATGGCAAAGGGCACGCCCTTTGAAAACGGCAATTTTGACGAAAATGGCGAATGTGGGAAAAATTTGTCAAGGCCTTGACTGCATGTCAAATAAGAAGGCAAAGGGGCTTCCTGACAAGTAGCGATTTTGACGAAAATGGCGAACAAAAATTCACCAAAGTTTTGGCAAAGACCTCTAATGAGCTGTTGAAAGGGGCCCCTTCAATAGTAGCGATCTTGACAAAAATGGAGAATATGGCAAAATTTCGCCAAAGATGTGGCGAAACGTCTTATGAGACGTTGAAAGAGGCCCCTTGAAGATAGGCGATTTTGATAAAAATGGCAAATACGGCACTGTGACAAAAATGTCGAATCCGGCACAACAAACAATTGGCATAGGTTTAGTGAATATTCTCCTTTGGAGAGTGTCAATTTTGACGAAAATGGCAAATCTGGCAAAAAATACCAAAAATGTAAAAATTAGCCGGGGTTTTGCAAAACATTCAAATGACATTGGCTTTGCTCAGCGCGTAACTTGTGAGGCAACATTTTATCAAATACAACTGAATCAAATATATCAGAAAACTGTACAATCAATGGAAGTAGTGCCAATTATGTATTTCTGCCATGAATTTCACATTTTCTTATTATTACTAACTTTCAAAGTCGCTTGACTTACCAAAAGTAATATGATGCGGTGAAACAAAAAATCACACTACCATCATTTGGTCTTGTAATGTAGAAGTTTTTTTCTTTCGAAGTCATACGACAATGAGTTATTTAATAGGACAGATTTTTCGTTGAATCCAACCAAAGCAATTTCAAGCCGCCCAGGTAGTCACATTAATAACTTCAAGAAGACAACCTCCAACTCTTTGAAATGATAAGAATTCCAACATATATTTTACCAATCACTCTCTAACTCTAAAGGTTACACGTAGACGTTAACAATCCCAATTGCTGACAGTTCTCTATACAGTGTTTCATTAAATTGTGAGGCAAAGATGTCCATCATATGCACTTTAAAGACTTGGTACCTGTGAAATGACACTAAGCACCTGCAAAGATTGTCCGCATAAGGGTGAATTTGCGCCAGATTCACCATTTTTTTCTTCACTGAGTAGGGTTACGCACCCATTTTACCGACGAGGGTTAGGCACTTATTTTACGGATGAGGGTTAAGCGCTGTTTAGGGTTAAACATGCACTCATTTACAACTTTTAGCTTTCAGTTTCCAATTTTTCCGTATTACTGCTTTCTTGATTTTTTTTTGGTAGCTTTTTCGCATGGCTCACACTGTGTCCTAACTCACGCCTGGAACAGGCTAATGCGTTCAGCGCAAGTAAATTGGGAGTATCAGCAGCAACGACGACAACGTAACAAGACTGGATGGGGGGGGGGGGGAGTCAAAAAAGAAAACAAATAAAACAATTATTCGTTTTCATTTCATAGTTGTCCACTGCATTTCTACGAAGCAAGACTTCGTAATGTGACGGTTTAAAGAGGACGTAAACGAATTCTCCTTTCTATCTTTGAACTTGGATACAATCCTTGAGAATTCACTAGCAGGAAGATTCGCCTACATTTGACAAATTGAGTGAAGCTAAATAAATGCGATTAGGTTCGAAAAACGCAAATTCATTTGTTAGTGTCGTTTTCGCTGCTGTCGTCGTTACGGTTCTTTTAGTTTCCTTATGACTTTACCTGAAATTTTTCGTTCGTTGGAAAAAAAAACGGGGATCAAGACATTAGCTGAAGAAAATAAATTAATGTTGTGACAAACAGTGTCACGGAAAAAAGTTGTTTTTCGATAAACCGGAGGGATTTCTCGATTACTTTGGCCAGAAAGTTTAGTTTGTAACTTGAATTAGATGGAAGCTCATTTCCTTTCCAATGAGGCCAGTCTGTAGTTCAGGAAAGATATTTTTGTAATGAGTTTTAATTGGACCAAAATTACTGGATTATTTACAGTATGTATAGGTATTCTGTACTCTACAGTGACTATTATCTCTTTTATTCTATACATTATAAGTCAGTGGTTCTGTGAATAACTATAAATATAACATACACCTTACGTTCCTAACTAAATATAATTTAAGAGTCTGTACGCTGTGACGAAACAGAGCTATTTTCAAGGTTCCCGGCGGCGATTACGTCAGACTGATCGTGGACAGAAAGGCTCGGGGAAGAAATGTTTCGTTCGCTGATTTCGTCCGCGAGTTTTAAAAGTTCAGGATCATCTTTATTTGACTCAAGTTCCAGCAGAGCATCTGAATCTTGGTCGCCATCTTCTTCGGCCTGGTCACTGAAAGAGGATTTGACAAGCGCTCCTTGATCTTCAGAAAATTCCACTTTTGAAGGAGACGTCGATGGCGGCCACGCAGCCGATTTGCTCTCCTGCTTTTCCTGTAAATTACCTTCCTCTTTCTCCAGCTCATCACCAGACCCCGCATCACTTTCAGAATGCTCGGATAGGTCGTCCCATTTGTCTAGGTTTGCGGCGTCACTGTTCTCAGACGAAGTGCTATTTAAATCCAGAGGAAGATAAGATCGCCTCATTATAAGATCTCCAGGCGTTGGAGCCCTAGACATCCTTTCTCGAGCATGATAGCCCGCGAGAATTGGGTCCCATCCCCGCGAGGATTCACTCGTGGCGCGTGAAACCGTGCGCGAGCCAACTTTCGTTGCTCGTGACGCGACGCGCACGGGCAGGCCTTGTTCAGCTTCGGTGGTGAAAAGGCGCTTATAATCACTCGCGTACTCGGCTGTTTGGTCTTCTTGCAGGATATGCGCCACAATAGCATCTCTCTTGCACAATCGTCTAACTTCTTGCCTAATGGCTTCAACCATCTCCAAATCTCCCGTCGGCTGTACACCCAGCGACTCCAACGTCATGATCGCTTCTCTATGAAAAGGTAGAAAGAGAAGTCTTGCTAACACAAGATGATTTGGCATATACTCTTTATACACTAATCATAACTATAACAAAATTCTCAAATCTGATTGGCCATCAACTGCCCTGATTTCAGCCTTAATAGGACTGTACGCGCCATCATAGCAAAAAAAAATTGGATTTTTCCGTTTTGATTTAAAAAAAAGAGCCTTATATATCACAAATTTTGTTAAAGTTATGATTAATTAGTAACAGAATTTCGTGTCGTCCAATTCAGTCTCTAATCATACTCGTGCTTAAACAAATCGGACTCCCGCTACGCGGTCGTCCGATTTTGTTAATCACTCGTATGATTACAGACCAAATTGGACCCCACTCAGTCCTGTTACCATTACTCATTACAATCAGGAGCTCATGACTCGGGGTTCGGCTCCTCTCTCCTCCGCAGAGGCTCCCGCTGGGTATCCCAAGAAAAATAGCAACGACACAAAGAGGTCTCTGTGGTAGAGAGAGGTCCGGCTACATATGTGACACGCCCTGCCTCGTACCCAGACGTCTCTCTCTCGAGATGAAAATGTGCGCGCAAAGGAAGGCGGGAAGGAGACATATGTACCCTTCCCATGGTCCCTTGCGGTTCATCACCGGTCAGTCGCGTTTCGCGCTCGCCTCTACCATGCGAAGAACGAAGCGCCTAAGGAGGAGGCTGTGACACGCCCTAGAGTTGACATATTTCCCGAATCTTGCTATTTTTAGAACGGTAATCACCACACGAAGCTCTTGGAATTCCCGTCATAAACCTTCATATACCGGGTATTAACTTTCATATCTTCATCTTCTACGGATATAAATTACGAACCCACAAAGTGACCAGTTCCCAGCTGGCTTGATAACAAAGTGGGAAGAGCAATGCAAAGGCATCGGTCGTGGGTTTAGCATGAGTATAAGGAGTTTCTTGGGGAAAAAGCGAAGAAAGAAGCGCTTAGGGGAGAAAGCGAAGGGAGAGAAATTTCTCTCTCTTCCCCCTTCCCCCCCCCTCCGCTGAAATCTCCTCTCTCCTAACCCCTAAGGAACGCCTGAAACTCAGGCTATCATAGGTTCGAATCTCGTTCAGGCCAACCGCCTGAATGCTTTTTGTCTTAGAGTTTGTTTTTGGTTTGCAGTTTTGTCGTTGTTGTTGTTGTTGTTTGTTTGTCTTTTTCTTGTTGGGGTTGTTTTTTGTTTTGTTTTGTTTTGTTTTGTGTGTGTTGGTTACGTACGGAACTGCGATGATCTTTCACGTTAAAAATATGTTGTTAACGTTCAAACTTAAGAAATTTCATATATATACTTTTATAACTTCAAGTAGGTAACAGAGTAGGAGGTGTACTGTATACTAGCTTATTATTATCACAAAATCAGCTCGAATGTTTAATACCTCTTGACAATTTCTTCAGTTTCGACCACAAGGCGATCCTGAAGAACGCCCAACAAACGCTCATCTCGCAAGCCCAGCACCGCGACAGCGTTACACGCCTCTGCGCGTACAGCGGCTACCTTCTCATAGCGAATGGACCACAACAAAACTTCAATGAGCTTCTCATCCACCACTCCTATACAGCCAAGAGCTGTCAAGAAATTTAATGATGTCAAGGGGTACACTTGTCTGCTACACAGCCGTTCTTATTGTCGTCACGCAATGCTCCTCCCCACAAGGGAGGAAGGAGCGTTGCGTGACGACACTACAACGGCTGTGTAGTAGACTAGGGGTACACATAATAATCAGATTCTGCAAATAGCTTTAAAAAGTCTCTTAAAAACACATTTGTTTCAGAAGGTGTTTCTTAGTTAACCCATTCGCTCCTGGAGATTTTGCCGTAAAACGCGTTTTGAAGCTAGTCGAGTGGTTTTCTGATCACTGTCGAGCTATAAAGAGCTAAAACTTACCGCAAACCCGTTTACAGGTCGTACACTTTACGGCCTTCTGATCCAGATGCAAAATACCAGCTTGCGAAGTTCGGGCATGCGCAGAAAGCAAAATTTCGAGAGTTTTTGGGTTTAAAAGTGACACAGCAGTCTTGACTTTTACTTTTCGCTATCTCTCCTCCCCTCTTTTTTCGCTTTTCTTGCTTCATTTTTTTTCTCTTGCTGGGCATTTAGTAGGCTTCATTTTGGTGGGAAGAGTTTTTAGGAAAGCTTTTAGGATCTTAGGATTAGGTGAAAGGAAAGGTAGGTGGAGATTTTCAGGCCAATGTTACATAGTTTTTGTCCTTTTTCTCCGGTGTCTTTGACTGAATTGTGCTCATTCTAGTATGGTTTGAAAGATCTCTTCACTCTGCACAAGTTACGGGACAAAGTTGTCCTTGACCGTTAAAACTGATGATGTCACAAGGGGTAGAAAGGACGTGGATCCACACGGGCGGTTACGGGCGGTTCAGGGGCAAATGGGTTAACTTTTATTAACTATGCACTATAATGTGTGACAAAGAATTCGATGTATTGTAGGATTTTGAGTAATATTTTAAGGTTTCAGCTTTCCAGTTGACATTATTTCTTAAACATTGTAAAGTGCAGATGAAAATGTTCTATAGAATGATATCTGAGTAATACAAGTTTATCAATATTATTATTTTCATTGTTATTTTTAATTACTTCTGAACAACGTAATCATTCTGAACCCACAAAAAAAGAGGGACACTATTTCGTATATCAGCCTGTGCACTAGCCTGAATTTCATCCGATTACTTCGAGTCGTTATTACTCCCTCGGTAACGTCTGAATCGACCAGCCGTTAATGCCGTCCAGTGACGTCACTACTCCTTGACCTTTGCTTTAATTCATGCAAAAAGCAAAACACGATTTTCAAGTGGCAAACCGAGAAATATCGTTTGGAAATGTCTGCATGATACAGAACTGCTTTATTTTTTTCGATTGTAATTCATGTTTAACGTTCAAACTATCAACTGCATGCGGTACAACTCTGAACCGGTTGTACTAAATTCTATAATCAAACTCGGTCGCAATCACGCAATGAAATAAACACACGCACGGAACACTTAGTTCAAAACTACAATGATTTGCTTTAATTGAAAAAAGCTATTTGGTCCTTAACGAAGAAAAAAAACAAGGAGACAAGAAAAAAAGCTAATAGGATCATCACTATTGACGGTAAAAATAGCAAGAAGGTCGAATTATAACATTGATCTCAGAAAACTTCGCGTAAACAAAATCACCGGCCACCGAAACCACAAAGCGGCTCTGAATGAAAAACCTACCGACTCTCCACAATGATTCTTCATTCGCAGTTCAATTTAGCATGTCAGTTTCGAAGACAAGGGCAATTTTGCTGTTTAAGATAAAGATTAAGCTCATAGAAATGTTTGAACTAACCGAATGAATGCTAGGGACGCGATGCAATGAATATCAAATGACAATCCCGCTAAAATTTTTCATAATTATACATAATTATGCGAATGTTTAGACAATCAACCAATCAAAACCACTACCCGGTTTTCGGGTAGTGAGTGACGTCACTGGACGGCATTAACGGCCGGTCGATTCAGACGTTGTTGAGAGGAGAAAACGACTCGAAGCAATCGGATGAATTTCAGGCTACCTGTGCACCAGTTAGTGCTGTGGTAACTGACATGCTGAAGCTGAAGTGAACGGCAAATTCCTGTCCTTGGTTTAATGGTTTGATAGTGCTCACCTTTGATGGTGTGCGCTTTCACTTTCCAACTGTTATCATCACTCGCCAGACGCATTAGCGAACTCAGTATACCCTTGTCTGTGATCTTCAACTTGCCTGCAGCCTGCAAGATAACATCTCTGTTATTCACACTATAAAACTATTATTATTATTTATTATTAATAATATTAATATTAATATTAATATTAATATTAATATTAATATTATTATTATTATTATTATTATTATTATTGTTGTTGTTGTCGTTGTTGTTATTGTCTTCTTTAACTTAATTTACATCATTATACAACATAACAGCCGAGCCCATTCCTAGGGCCTAGGGTTATAATTAGGTAGAAGTGTATTTGATCGAGGGTGCCTTTCTTGGGTTGGGAGGTGTTCCAAGTAGTGTGATCTTGTATAGTTCATGTATTTTGATGTTACCCGGGATTTGCTGTATATATTTCTCCAGCCCTTTCTACATTAGTCCCAGGGCTCTTATCACTTCCGGAATTGTGTAGGCATTCAGTTTTGGCCAGCTCGGGGCACCCTGTCGCAATATGGTCAATAGTTTCCTGAAACTGACCAAAAATCTTGCACAATGGGTCTGTATTGTTAGTAGTAGTAGTTGTAGTAGTATAAAGTGGTGGTGGTGGTAGTGGTAGTAGTAACCAATCACATACAAATCGGGTTCACCCGCCAAGGGCAGGGAAAAAAAGGGAAAAAGGCTTTCCAACTTATCACAAAAAGTAGTAAAGCGACAAAATTTCGTTACCATGGCAGCCTCGATTCTCACGGACACATATTCACTCTTGAAACACTCCTGCAGGGCCGGCAGAAGACGAGCCGTCATTATACCTAGATTAGAGAGCTAAGAAAGAAAAAACGAACACATTCAGGCCCCTGTTCATCAAGACGTGAGTAAACCTCATCTACTTTTAATAATACGCATCAAATGTTGCGTGTAGCTCACAGCTAGTTTTAAAGCAAAGCTCCCCATTCGCGGTACTCTCTCAAAATTTCTCTTGCGACGTCAGCAGATTGGAATTTCTGTCTTTATTTGCAAAACACATGGACTAGCTTAATTTGTCTGGTCACAATATAAACTAATACAAACTCATTGTCCCCAGTCCTTACCTTTTTTAGCGCGTCCACTTTAATCCTTTCGTTTCCAGTGAGAATTCTCTCGCGTAATGCATCATGGACAAGCTGTTGGTGAGATTATACGTATCAATAAAGCTGCAATTTTTGAAACTACAGTGATGTAATTGGTTGAATAATCGGACAGATGGAGGAACGGGAGTACACTTGCAGAGTTTGCCTGAAAAAGAGAAGCGGTTTGGTTCAAATTATCAGGATTCACAGAGTTTACTGTACAGCACCTTGCCATTGCCGGTTCTCCCAAGAGCCTGTGCAGCTGCTGAGCGTACATCTTTGTTCCAGTCATTCCACATTAGATAAGATAACTTGTGAGTCATGTCCTGGAAGAATACAAACACAGCATGTTTAGATGGTTTGAGTTGTATCAGGTACGACAATAAGAATGATTAACAAGTGCCGGTTTGTATCAGGAATTATGTTCCAAAAGATATATTGTGTGCACACCCCTATTAACTTCTCGTCGGCGGAGAGATTTGTAGTCGTTTCTCCCGAAAGTCGATTCGCCCGATGACATACAACCCTCTACAACATGGTGAACATACCTTACTTCGAGATGTTAATTTTAGTTACTTTTGGATTCCACATGTGCAGTCACTGTCTTTTCATGCATATTCGCTTTTTTCAGGCTTAAAAAACGACAAATGCGCTTCGGGCGAATCGACTTAGTCTGGGAGAACTGTTATCGGGCGAATTGACCTTCCGGCAAAACGATCTAATACTGACAGAAGAGGAAGCCCGGCTTCTGATCACAAGCTACAGTTGTTAATGTGTCTCTGAAACGCATCTTATTCCATCCTCCCATCCTCCTACTCGTTTTCCCGTTCAATGCCCTATATACTATCTCAAAATGTACCTATTTTAGACCATGTAGCTTGTAGTGATATGTTTACAGACTTTAGGAATTGGTGGAACCCATCAACTCCTACCAGGCAGGCAGACAGACATTCTAACAACCAAGCTAACAGAATATAGTGTGGATTAGACAAGTTCGGATCTAGAGACTACCCACCTTGTTAGCACCTCCTTTAAGCTTCGGAATCACTTTACAAGCTGTTGCACGGTCCTTCCAACTGTTACTGTTCAGTAATTCAGCAATCAAGGACTGTACCACATCCTAGAGGAAATAGATTAATATGCTTTTCAATAACATGCGATCTCTATTGTAAAAACTTAAACCAAGACTGCCGAAAAGCCTGCATTTTCGCGTAGGTCACGAACGCGGGAGTAGTCAAACAAAAGCCCTGGAGCGAGTTTGCTTCCATCAGTTACCTGCCCGACCTCTCAGAAAACACAGGTTTTCTTGAGCGGGTTCAAAAGTTCATGTCTGTACGATGAAATAATTACAACGTACAGACATGATTTCTATTTCAATCCAGTTTTTTAGTTTCGTTTTGTAATTATGACTGACTGAAGTGCACAAATTACGGCATTGGTTAAATCTGTTCTACTTTAGATGTCGCATGTTAATTAAAATTGTAGTGAATGGGTTAAAAAGATTGACAAAAAGAAAATGAACACGTCTTGTTTAACTTGCATTTACCAAGCTCAAATAGTTAACATAAAGTTCCACTGACATGTAATCGTTCTGTTCATCCCGATAAGAGCACCTCTCTGCAATAGGGTCCACCCCATGTGTTCTTGTCAAGCAAACTTATAAGCATTATAAAACACAGGTAGATGTAATTAGAGGACAAAGTATGATCTTCAGTCAATAAAGATTGGGCCATAACCGGTTTGAAATAAAAGATAATACATGTACAGACAATCCTCTTTCAAACAGCAAGTCTAAGTTCATGCATAGCACACTGGTCATCACAGCAAAAAACATCCAAACAATGTATGAATTTAACAGCTTAAAACAGAATGACTTAGCTTCTTTTGTCTTTGCACCACAGACATTTAACAGAGTGACTTACCGACTTTTGGCTGAGCTGCGCTAATAGAGTTCCTGCCTTCTCAGTCCTTACAGCGTTATCAGCATGTAGATGATTGACAAGTTCCACTATGATCTTGTCTGTGATGACACCACTCATTGCCAAGCACTGGGTTGCTGCCCACTTTTCAGGGGGACCGCCTTGCTCCATTGCCCACAAAAGAATTGATTTAGCCTATAGTAGATAAAAACTCTATCACAATTTGCAATTTATTAAATCATCCTAACACATACTAACTTAAAAACAAAGCTTAAGCCACCCCACCTCATTAAAGTTAAATACATGTAATAAACAGCAATTACTGTACATTACAAAACACTTAACTTTTGAAGCCTCTTCATGTACATGATGCAAAAGGCATCTTTTTTTGTGATATTTCTGTATAAATTTTAGAATTTAACATAATTTTATAATGAACTTTATATCATTCTCAAGACCAGGAGTTGTCCTGATATTAACCCCCACCACCCACCCCAACCCCACTTGAGCAACCAGGCATTGTCTGACCTATTGTGGGTGTGGGCGTCAACCAGCACAGTTCTCGTGATTGTTAGACTGAAGACAGGTACACTTACTTAACAATTCACAACCACAAAGGTACAAGAAAGTACAAATGTACAGCCCAGGGTCAAGTAAACTATAACTAATATTCATCAGGTACCTTGTCACTAGGTTTATTCAATGAATACATTGTGATAGCAGCAGCAACTCTGACTTGCGAATTCCTGTCATCCAACAGCTTTGCAATAGCTTCTATTAACTCAGGTTCGAGTACAGCTTCCAGGGGAGGTGTAGGTGCCTTAGATTTGTCTAACATGATCCCTGTGTATAGAGTTGAGTCAAACATGAGAGGAAGACAATTAAATAATGATTAATATTATTTTTATATGGACACTAATGAAATACCAGGTGAGATTTCGCTAGGAAACACGATATCTTCACAACTGAAAATGACACATTATTTTTTACATGGGAAAAGATCACTGTTGCTATGGCTACATAATAAACCAAGTTTTTCAGAGCAAAAAGTAGTTTGGCATTTCACTGGTGTGTAATAAAAATAACACAGAACATGGATGCTTTGACAAACCAAATTTCTCTTCCTGTGTTGAAAATATTTCACTCAATATCATTAAGATAGTAAATCGACAATGACAATTTTCTATTGTCCACCTTCAACAATTTGACATCATTTTCACGATCTAATGGAGACTATAGACAATGAAAAATTATTGTTGAGTTTTTAAACATCATTTTCTGACATTTTACTTTGATAAAAAAAACTAACTACAAATTATAAAAATAATGCATTGAAAGATTACCTAGTTTATTTTGTTGTTTGTCTATCTGCCGGAGCTCAGCAGCCTTGCTACATGCTGACACAGCAGCAAGTCTGACGTGATCATTAATATCACTCATGGCTTTTATCAGCTCATCACTTCCACATTTTTGCCAGCGACGTTCAAGAAACCACTTGGATCTCCATTCTTCCACTATAGGAAACACAAGCACAAGAAGATTTAATAACATAACAAACTGTTGACATACATATAATTCAATGACATTGATGCATTTTAAAGGAACCCACAATCCCATTTAAACTTTGATTTTCTGACCAGTCGCAAAATCAAATTAAGATGTGAAGGGTGTTACAGAACCTTCAAATATCCATTTGAAGCAAGCTCTGACATTCGTGAAAGGAAATAAACAGAAATGGAACAGTAGCATAAACGACCATAATAATGTCTGTTATGCTGCTGTTCCATTTCTGCTTATTTATATTATTATTATATAAATGAAGAAACTCACTGTCATGAGATGTGGATGTGACTAAATTCAAGAGATCTTGTGGATTTGATGAAGCAGATGGTTTGCAACAATGTGTTAGCAAACTAATATCATCATGGGTGACAAATAACTCCTCCATTTTGGGGCAAAATTCCAGCATTAATTTATAAGTTCACAATGTGAGATTACAAAGTTGCTGTGGTAACATCCTGTACATATATGTCTCTGTGCCAACATGGAGTAAAAGTTTTAAAATTTTATGAATAAAGATATCAGGGCATTAAAATATGATTTTTTAAACTTAGCCGGCAGAATGCAAGCAAAGATTACTGCACTTGTCACAAAATGACTTCTGACACAGATTTCACAACAGTGTGTACAAATATAATTATACAGCTCTCTATCTTGGTGTACATTATTGATATAATTTTTAAGATTGATTACAATGTTAATTATATAGTACTGTATGTAATTAGTATATGTGTTATTTTAATTGCAGTGATTTGCATGGACTTAAGGGTTGTCACTCTTTGTTCTTCGAGTTTACGCAGATCATTGTAATTTTCTATTGCTGTAATTTTCAATTTCCGAAATGTAGTATTGTTGTAGTTCTTTTTTAAACTTACAGCTTACTGGATGACCACTATGTTATGCATGGCCACTCGCAAAGCAATTATTAAATCTGATAAAAGAATTTTTCAAGTCTAAATTCTGAAAATAAACTTGAGAATGTAAACAACGGATCTTTGACAGGGTGCAGTCTGCAAAGAAATCTTGTCACGTCAATGTGACGGTTCTGTTATCTTTCCACGAAAAAACAGATGATTGACATTTGAGCATGTGCATAATTCGGACAGTGTCCCTTTAAATAATTTAGTTCTAAAGCCTTCAACTTCCATTTCTTGATTTGTGCCTTACCGATAAAAGATATTTTTCTGCAAATGGGATTAATCTATAAATAAGTTAAAATAATTATAAGTTATTTTCCAAAAGAGCATGAAAGAAAACAATCAGAATGCCTCACCAATTTTGACTACATTTGAGTCATCCCGTATCTTCTTCTTTTCCTTGTAAGCATTGCTCAAGGCCTTGACATCAATGTTAGATTCTTTCATTACAGGAACATAATCATCATCCTTAAGAAAATTTGTGGAAAGAAAGACAAGTCTTGACTTAGTTATAAAACACAAAACCATCCAGTCAGTTAGCAGTTTCTATGGCCAAAATAAAACTGTCATGTTGACTTAAATTTTGAAGTTGAACATTATTAAGTTTATTGGAAAATCTTGAGAATGAGGAAAATGTATTACAGTCGTACACGTATAACAATGAATGATCTCAAGTTAATAAAGAAATGTGTTGTAATCCAGAAAACGTCCATAGTCCCCATGCACCCCTCTGAAAATTCCAGTTTCAACCCAGACTTGCCCTTTCACACCCCACTCCCCCTTTAAAATTCCCAATGACCCACCACAGGGTGGGCATGGATATTTTTGTGGGAACCACACAATCCAAGACCTGCAATATTCTAAGGTTTTTGAAACAAAGTTCTTGAAAACAAGATATAGATTAAGCCAGGCCTAGAAAGGGAATTTCAGTCGACTTATGGCCAACTGACTACCAAAATTTCTCCGATTGATAGATAACCATATTTTATCTTACATATGGGGGTACCCCCCTCACCTGCACACGGAGCTCTGCTAAAAATTATTACAGAGGATGCTCTTATAAGCAGACACCCTTGGGATGCAAAAAAGGTATCTGTTACTGCAGCTTTATGGCCGCTTTAATACGAGAAGGGTTATGTCTGCTTATAGGAGCTTGCCCAACTAAAAATAAACATTGATAATGCAAAAACCTGTGTCTGGCTATACTGTTGTTCTGACAACAACAGCATTCAGTCACAAGCATAAAAGTTTAAAGCAGCGTTTTGCAGTGTAAACGGGCGTGTATGTGAAAAAAACAAATGCTGAAACTGTTCATTGTGACAAACAGCCATTGAAAAATTGATAATTAAGACACATAAGATTCGGGGCTGAATTTCATTTCAGGTGGCCACTTAGCTGGGAGCTTAAAAACAAAGCTAAAATCTAACTTATAAATCCTGAAAGTGTCCACAGGACACAGGAATTGTCCATGCTCACAAGAATGAATGAATTAAAACAGGTTTTGTGAAGGCCACTGTAAGTTGAGCTTCATGTATTAGCAGAGTGTCCATTAACAGAGCTTCCACAGTGACTGTAGCATAACAGTTTTTGTAATTTCCTACCTGCACTACAACCGGCAGCTCTTTCCACCGTTGTAATCCTTTCACTACCTTTTTTGGATTTTTTGGTGACTGTTTTGCCTTTACTTTACCAGATGGTCCTTTACTAGTATACCAAACACCAGAGCCTTGAGGAAAATTTTGTTGTAACTGTTTCTGAAACTTAAGCTTGTCAGTAGTGTCAAGAACAATAAAACTTGATTCTGAAGCCTTTTTAGAAGGTAATGGCTGTGCACCACCCAGGAGTTCCTGTTGAAAAATGTTATCTGTTTCAAGTTTCTTGCTTCCAACTTTAGGGGATAGAGTGAAAGAGGGTGTGTAATGAATTTCTAAGGCTTGCCGTGACTTTTTGTCTGTGATATCTTTTACTTTCTTCTTTGCTGAAGTTTGCTTCTTCCCTTCTTTTGTGGTCCCTGCAAGTTCCACGGAGGTTGTTTTTTCTTCTGTTTCTTGATTTCTTTTTTCAAAAAAACTTTTAAGTCTTTCCTTGTCACTTCCATGTGACTGTTCATTAATAATCCAGTTAGCTGTGGATTGACTGAGGCACGCAAGTACAAATTCATCCCACTCATGCCTTCCAGCATCTTTAGACAGAGGAACATCAGTAGATGATGGTTTTAACTTAATTTTTGGAATAGGTATATGCTGTTCCGAGTCAGTTGTAGCTGGTGTAGTCTTTGACCTTTTCAGTGGTTTGAGTTTTCTAGGTCCTTTTAAATGACAAAGAGCGTGTCTTTTTACCACTCCACGAGTATCATGCCTACCCACAAGACCAACAGTAGCAGCCTTGGAATGGAATAAACCTCCACTCTTAAAGACTCCTTGTAGATCACCATCATTATACGGCAGTGTGTGAGGGGCACGGTCTTGTAGTACATCTTCAGTGAAGACCAGTCCGTTGCTAATTTTTTTCAAGTATGATCGACTGATATCTTTGCTGCTCTTATCAGCAACAGAATGATACTGAGAAAACACATCTGCAAGTCTTGCCAATGGTTCATCCTTTGGTAACTGTTTGTGCTGTATTGGGGGCACCAATGGAGCTATAGAGCTATGTGCTAATCTAGAGGGATATTCATCAGGAAATGGCGGTGTACTAACTCTGCTGGCATTAAGACCAGTTTCATCTCTACCAACATAAGGGATCTGAACTCCTGATGCAACAGCAAAGAATTCTGAGCCATGGACTTTTGTTGGTGATACACTGCCAGCAACTGTAGAAAAAGAATTAATGTTATTATTTGTACTTAGCAACAGGCAGTTGATGACACAAGAACAAATTAATCAGTGTTACCTCTAAATCGTACCTCTGCTTAAAAAATAGGGACAATGGAATTGACTGGTACATTAGTATCGTATAAGCTGTGCCAGTGCGCACCCCTCAACCAACCACTAGCCTGTTGCGAGTCCTAGATCGCACTTATCTCTTCACCCAAAACACATGCATAGAGTGATAATTATAAACGTAGTAATCGGAATCTTCCGGTCTTGATCAACATACCATCAGATCCTTTAGTTTAAGCCTGGTTTCAGGGTGTTATTTCTGTATTTTTGTTTTTATGATACCTCGAATAACGTATGTATGCATGTAAGCTTATGTTTGTATGTATGTATGTAACATGTGTCCAAACAATGAGGACAGACAACTGAAAACACCTGATGATTGACCAGAGGGCCAGGGCAACAAGATGCAGATGGCTATGAAGACCTCAACGCAGAGAACTGAGAGGCGAAACTTCTACCTAACAATAGAACCAAGTGTTTAAGTGTCCAATTTTACACTCTATAGCTGGTCCAGACACCATACCTGTATTGTAAGGAGTCGAAAAGCCACCAGGAGTGGAAACATTCGCCATTTTGTCTTTTCTCTGCCATTCCTTTGTTGCCAGGCAACACGGCGGCTGCAAAATTGTTCCCAGGTCCCGCCTCATAAAGGTCTCAAAGGGGAGCGCCAAAATTCAAGGCCCTCACCGAAAAATGACCACTCTTCAGCTATTGCTGACCATGTCAAAGCTATCAGACATAACATCAAGTGGGATCATGTTGAAATTTTAGCGTCTGGCAAATCAAATTATTAATGAAAGATAATGAAGAAACATTGTTTATATAAATAGTCTCGTCATAGTCTGTAACGGTCACTTTTGAAACTGTGTGCTGACTAGCATACGAAATGTCAAGTTTATATGTAAAAAATACCAAAGTTCAAAATATTTATGACCGCTGTCTGTGTTTTTGTTTGTATTTTTCAGTTCGTAAACCAGGAAGTCAGCTTTAGTATTCTTTACACCTATTTAGAATAAAGCGGAGATCGTCTAAAAGCTCCACAGAGCTTGCTCGCATGATCTCCTGCCTTGTTAGATTGAGTATGTGAATGTATGGAAAATAAAGGCACCTTTTCTTCTTTTATTTTTGGTGAAGCTACAGTTTGTAATATGTAGTTGCGCACACTCGTATTGCCGGGCGGATCCGCGCCTGCTCCTCACCATCAAAAACAACGGAAACAAGCTAGTATCCCACCGCTTATCATAAATTAGCCTGCGTGGCAGGCGTTCGAAAGGGAAGGGAAAGGGAATTAGAGCGTGAGACCCTCCCTCCGTCCTTCCTTGCGTGCCCCTCGCGTTTCTCTCGCGCCTAAAACTCCCTTTCCCCAAAGCTCCCTGTCCCTTCCCTTTCAAACGCCTGCCACAGAGGCTAATCATAAATAGATCTAAATATTTTCAAAGCGACAACAAGATCAGGTTCTATTTTCAAGAGTAAAAAGTAAATCATCACGCCCAGTATCATGCTTTGTATAAAACTTTAATTATTTACAACAACGTCATAAATATAAAAATCCAAGAAATCCTAAATACTCTAAATAATTACACCTGCTTAACCTGCTTTACAAAAAAACCGTGAAAGAAGATGAATTGAACTGACGAAGAGACCGTTGTTCAAATTGTATGCTTTCAAATTTTTCCAGAGCCAAAAGAAAGAGCACAGTCCTCACCATGTTTTGGGTTTTACTTTCTTGCTTGTTTTTATTTCTATTTTCGTGCTCGCTTTCCCGCTTTTCTTTTCGCTCGTGTCAACTTATGACCAATTGAGTCAAAGGTTTGGAGCAGAGTAGTAAGGACAAACTACATGCGGACGAAACAGGGTTATTACATGAGTTCCTGGACCATTCCAGTTGCGGATCCAGGGAAGGGGGCCGGGGGGGCCCGGCCCCCCCATCATTTTTGACCAAGCTGAGGCTCGAAGGGCCGAAAAAAGTTTTTGAGACCAGCCCCCCCCCCCCCCCCCCCCTCATCTGAAGGTCTGGATTCGCCGTTGCATTCAGTCAGTTTAACTAAATGGATAAGCTATTCTTATATTTATAAGTTTCATCA